GTATTCTGAGGTGAACGTAATTATATTCTAATTAACAACATTTTGCGACCCATTTCAACCCAATGAACTAAATAAACAGCCTCAAATGTGCGTTAAATCCTCCTATCCCCAACCTTGCATCAGATATGCAATCTACTGTACGCTTATTGACCAGTAGATGTATTGCGGCAGGAAAATTGCCTTTTGAATTGCAGATTTAACCATCAAGATAACTGTTCGCCACGGGCACGTGATCGAATATAACTTTTACCGAAAATTAGTTTGCAATAGTCAAAGTGAAGATAGTGAAGTTCCCGAAAATTGATGCTAGGTTGCTGATGGTAACATACAATTAAAATATCGATGTGCATCTATTTTTTCACCTGTTTCTCTGGAGCGAGATATATTGGCCGAACAGCGCTACGTCGGTAGAAGAGAATACGCGAACACGTACCAGTGTGGCTCAGCAAAGGAGACAATAGACCGATCTGAAGCTCAATCCTCGCCCACCTAATTGAGACGAACCACCAAGTGGACGCAAAGGAAGCCTTTCAGGTCATATACCACACGCCGACACACTACCCCAAAGGCCTGCATAAAATGGTGTTAGCCACAGAAGAGTCAATGCGGCTAGCAAAACCCACCCTATGCTGTCAAAAGGCGCTGGTACAAGCAATCTGCCTCCTTTGGCCGACTGCAGGCGGAGAATAGTCAAGCGCAGGCGGCGCGGTTGACATACAGGCCTCAACCCGCTGACCGTGAGAACATCCCCCTGTCTTTTCTGCACATCGCAACTATCGTCCTACCCACACTCAGGAGATGAGCGAAAAACCAGATGCTCAATTACACTCAGCCATTCACCCAGTACTCCCCTTTCTCCCATCCCATAACCAAACAGACGATCATGTAAATGCTGAAATTAAGTGACCATTTTATTCCCCATGTCATGGACCGGCCTGAAGATGAAAGACCAAAAACTGTTGTTTGACAATATGACTTTTCAATTAAAATATACTTAAACCCTCTCAAGTAGAACTAATAAATGTAGGGGTACCTTAAGGAAATTCGCATGCTTTAACTTCTGGATGCTGAATGCAGAAAGAAATAAGGATTTCAGTATGAAGAGTCAGACTGGAGAACAGCCAACTCTCCCCAATTATAAAGGGCCTTTCTTCCGACTTTCGATAGATGGAAAATATTTTTGCGATGGCTGATGGACTAATTGAGCTAGGCACTGTACTGGATGTAGATAATCAGGCCCACCTAGCGTTTACCTTCACTTTGGAAATAGAGAACAGAAAGTGCCTCCAATGAATAAGTGAGCTACAAGAATATGTACTTCCTTATTTAAAACACAGCGAGAAAACGGCTTTATCGGGAGGCATATCAATAAATGTATGATGGAACGTCCTTCAAAATCGGAAATCCCGGTTGTTTTAAAAAAAGGCCTTACTTCTTACATTGGATTTTTGAAAAGATCCAGCAAGCGAACTTATAAATCTTCGCTTGCACACTGCAAGCGCGCGCATGAATCGAGCATCTAAAATAAGATTAGCCTTTTCAAGCACTCCACTTCTTCGCCTTGAAGGCAAGGATAGACCCCCGTATCAGAACTCTACGCCTTTACTTACGCCTGTTGAACAGTTTATGTTGGTCTACAAACTGGAAAGCTATCCAGATAAATACGAAAACACCACCCTACTTGGCAAAACCTAGGCATGATAAAGTCCATTTCTAACGCTATTTGGGTTCACTTGGTTGACAGCGATCACCGCCTAGACGTCCACAAAGTATTTTTTAGTAATTTATAAAGTGCCGACAAAATACTTCAAGTTCCTGCATCAGTGGATACTTGCGACGACAGAAGCAGTCGTCTTACAATTAAATTACCCAGTTGTATGCACACAGAAAGTGTTTGTATAAGCGCCAAGGCTCCCATTACTGAAGACCAACTCAACATGCGTTCCCACGCTTCCAACAACGCCGCGAGACGGCGACGAGACGGTGACGAGACCGCGAAACCGTGCATCCTATCGCCGCACACCCCGTCGAGAGACCATGAGACCTTGCGTCCTACCATCTCCCAACACGACGCGAGTCAGAGAGGAATGGGTAACATGAACTAATTGTTGAACTCCCTTCCTCATTTCCCTTTTTGGTTTCTTATTTTGACTAGTATCTGACCCAGCGATCTCTAAATACATTTTCTTCTCTCCCCAAATTACTA